AAAGATTAAACAATTCACAAAATTACATTTTGAAATTTATTAAGCCGTTTAGTTTCAATTTTCTGAATTCAATTTTTTGAAAATTGAGTTTTTTTTTTCTATTTTTTGTATTTTTTATTTTATTTTTAGTGAATATTTTTAAATTTTTAAGTAATTTTTTTTTTTTACTTTTTTAGATGTATCTTAGTTAGATGTATTAAAAAGTAAAATATTTATAAAAAAATATTTTAAAAAATTAAAAATATTAGTGAATTTTTATATTTTTGATATTTAGTGAATTTTTTAAAGATTATTTTTCATAAATATTATATTTTTTAAGTATATTTATGTTAGATGTGTTTGAAAATTAAAAAAATTATTTAAAATATTAAAAAAATTCAATAAAAATAAAAAATAAAACATTTAAAAAAAATTCTAAAAATCAAAATCAAATAAAATGATTATTATTGCACTCTTATTTTTACCCTTACCAGTATCTACATTAGACACGCTGTAAATTCTAAAATTCAAAACCAAATAGAGTGATTATTATTTCACTCTTATTTTTACGGGAAAATTAGTCTAAATTCCCTATCTTATTTTTAGTAATGGAAGAGATCCACAATATTATTTTGTGATATCTAAAGTCCCTCAACCCCTGACACCCATATATCTGTAACGCCCCAAATTTCTAGCACAAATGATAATGCAAGAATCATGGCTCTCTTAAAGGAAAATCAAATATAACTTCCCATACTTGCATTACATGATAATAATAGTTCCTCATGCGATATTACATTGATTCAACAACAAGTAAATAACCAAATAAGCACCCTCAAGGGTTTACAATCTTCCAAGGCTTAAAATCGGTACACAAAAATGGTTATTCAAACCCACACATATATAGCCCTTGGCTTACAAATAAGATCACAGCAAATGAGAACTTTAGTGCTTTCAGCACACATTTCCACGCCCTCAATTAGGCGAATTCACCACGTCTTTTCCTGCACAAAAATCCGGTAAGGTGAGCATGAAGCCCAGTAGGAAATCCTTAACAAAATATATACATTTTATACAAATCTCAAGTGATGAATGCACATGTCATGCCTTGCCTTTTTGAAAATAAAACACAGCTTCATCTTTTGAAAACCATCATGCTCAATGATGTTATGCAACTTCAATTGTTCAAAATTTATCAATTTAATTAAAGGGGGCGGTAAATACAACTCTGGTAATCCCTAGGTCAGTGTCTGCAAGTAGACTATACGAGTACTACCAATTGTCATTTTTACCGGTATTAACCGGAAGGCTCGATACCTATCCGCGTGACTTTCTGGTCTTTTACCAAGGACACTCAAGCCAACTTAAACAATTTCATCTGCACCACCTATCAAGACTTACCACCGCATTTACCCCAAAACCATTTCATGAAAACCCATTTCCCAACATTCTTTTCTCAATGCAAATTTCTAAAGTTTAACATAGTCCAATGAATTGAAATGCCAATTTATGCTTAATAATGCAATGCAACATTACTTCCATATTCAATTGTTCCACACAATATACCATTATGATCAAAATTCCTAATCCTCTTTTCAACACAATTTCACAAGATGAATATATATATATATATATATATATATACTTTTATATCTAATTCATTCAAGAGAATTACGTAATTCCCACATTTCGAGCAATCTTAACAATTTAGTCAATGCAAGATTAAATCAACATTTTGACAACAATTTTCAAAAACAACATTTCTCATTTTTTTCACAAAATTTATCATTTATATACAAATAAACAATTTTCAAAACATCCATTTATTTTGGTACGTAAAATAAATATGACAACATCTTCCAAGGATTTTCAACATCTTTAAAAGAAAAGACCCAATTTCTAAGTTTTCTCACCAAAATCATTCATCTCCAAAATATTTAGAAGAATCTCCCTAGAATCATCTTTCTTCAATCAATATGGTTCAAAACCTTCAATTTCATTTTAAAATGAAAAGAAATTAAACCATCTTTCAAAATCACTCATCTTCTTGAAATCAACAATCAATTTCTCAAAGCTAATCAAAGGATGATTTCGAAAGTCATCTAGATCTTGCAAAAACATATATATAACTCTAAGAAAATCCTTATCTCAAGTTTTGAAGAAGAAATGAGATGAAACCCCAAAAATCAACAGTGTCAAAACTCGATCTTCACCGCACACAACGAAGCCCTCGAGATGATAACCAACTTTGGTGAATAACTTAGGTCTAAATCCCAATGGATTTGAAGAAATCAAAGAGAAAAGATGACTTCTACAGAGAGAAGCTCCCGATCTGAAATTCTAGAGAGTTTCAGAGAGAGAGAGGACTAAAAAAGTGATATGAAATATCAGGTTCACGAACTGATATAACATGGTCCGCTCGAGCGTGGAATACCCCGCTTGAGCGTCAAATACACTAATCTAGTACTTTTACAGATAGGTCAAACTTCTGAAACCAAACATTCTCCGCTCGAGCGCATAAACGGCCGCTCGAGCGGACAAACAACTTTGAATGCATTTTGCATTTTTGTTTTGGGGACGTTGCCCTTCAACCCCGCCAGGGCGCTGCCCCCTGACCCCCGTGAGCTGACCGGATAGCTCGATCCTCGCCAGGGCGCTGCCTTTGGACCCTCTAAGGGGCGCTGCCCCCTGGACTCTTGTGAGTTGACCGGGCAGCTTGACCCCCGACCGGCCTAGTCGAAGTGGCAAACATGAAAGAAGGATCGAAACCGGGATCACTACAATATCACAGAGAAATTTAATCCCCTCAAATCAAACTGTCTCTTTCTCTTTCTCTCTCTTCCTTTCTCTCTGCTCTTTTCTCTCCGGCGAACTCCACCTCTAACACCGGAGTTCATCGTCGTCGTCGTCTTCTTCAACTCTCTCTTTTTTGTTAAGCGAAGCTCAAAGCATCCTTATCCATAGACGAATTTACCGATATTAGAATCGAAGTGTACTGCGACGAGAAGACAACCCAATGGTAGGAGTGAACAACGGTATCATCACTATCAAGGGCGATGATGAAAGTGATACTGTCACTTTCATGTTTGAAAGCCCTAGTAACCTTTTCTTAGTTCTTCCTTCTCCGGCTCCTTCTTCTACTGGTCTTGGAACAAGGTCTCTTTCTCTTCCTCTCATAACTCATACACATACAACATATATATATATATATATAGTATGAAGTTAAATTGTTTGACAAAATACTTCTTAGAACTCCAAAACACATAACTGTGAGATTTGATTTGACCAAACTCTTCTTAGAACTGTAAAACATATAGCTGTGAGCTTTGAAGCTAACCTATTTGATAAAATGCTTCTTAGAAAAACAATTATAGAGAAGAACAATCACAATTTTCTCTAGTTCGTTCAAAACATAGAGAAAATTGTAATTGTTTTTGGTTTCTAAGTCGCCTAATTTTCTCTGATTTGTTAAAAAAACAGAGAAAATTGTGATTTTTTTTGGGTTTCTAAGTAGCCCAATTTTCTTTGGTTTGTTCAAAACACAGAGAAAATTGTGATTATTTTTTGGTTTCTTAGTAGCCCAATTTTCTATGGTTTGTTCAAAACACAGAGAAAATTGTGATTCTTTTTGGTTTCTAAGTAGACAAATTTTCTTTAGTTTGTTCAAAACAATCACATGTGATTGTTTTGGTTTCTAAGTAGTCCAATTTTCTCTAGTTTGTTCAAAATACAGAGAAAATCGTGATTGTTTTTTGATTTTTTAGTAACTCAATTTTCTCTGGTTTGTTGAAAATACAGAAAAAATTGTGATTGTTTTTGGTTTCTAAGTAGGCAATTTTCTCTGGTTTGTTCAAAATAATCACATGTGATTGTTTTTGGTTTCTAAGTAGTTCAATTTTTCTAATTTGTTAAAAACATAGAGAAAATTGTGATTGTTTTTGGTTTTTAAGTAGTTCAATTTTCTCTGGTTTGTTTAAAACACCGAGAAAATTTATTTGGTTTGGACAGAATTTCTTTAGGAAGTCTACAGAAAACTAGAGAAATTTGCAAACCAGAGAAATTTAGGTTGTGTTTGGTAGAGTTTTGTAAATATGATTTGAGAATATGAGTTGTATTTTGAGTTTGTGAGTTTTGGAATTATGATTTGAGTGTAGAAAATTTGTTTGGTTATGAGTTTTGAAAAGAATTTTAAATTGAGTGTGGAGTTTTTGATGTGACATGTGATATTTGATACAAAAACTAACAACTCATAACCAAACACACAACTCAAAATTCTATACAAAACTCATAAAAAAAATTTAAAAAATTCGGAAAATATTTTTTATTTAATATATAAAACATAACATGTGTCAATTCCAAAAAAAATAAAAAATAAAAAAATTTCACTGGTGGGGACGTCCTATGGGACATCCGGGGGGTCGACCGGGGGAGGGACATCCGGGTGACAGAGTTTTCAAAGCAAAGCGTGGAATTGATTTTTAAAAACCGTAAACAAACACGCAACTCAAAAATACACCTGAAATCACATTTTCAGAACACAACCAAACAGAGCCTTAGATTTGAATCGATATATGAGAGACTTTAAACATTATAAAAATATTATACAACTTTTTATGTTACAAAATCTTAAGGGTTGGTTTGGGATGTCCTAAAAAAATGCACTTTTTGACTTATTGGTGGGTTTGGGTTGGATTTGATGTGATGTGTTAGAGAGGTGATGTGATTTAAATAAGATGATGTGACTTAAATAAGATAGTGACTTTTTGACTTATTTAGTACATGCCAAACTAGCCCTTAATATCAACAACACTATTTTAAAAAAAAAAAAAAAAAATCTTAACACCAAGATCCTAAAAGAAAATCCTCAATTTTAACCTTTACCAGTATCTACATCAGACACTCTACATTAGACACGCTCTAGTAATTATATGGTACACACCATTAGTCTCTCTCCCCCTTGAATTGAAGCCGCCTTCTCAGTCCGTTGCCTGACCTCCCCCCTTCTCTCCCTCTCTAAGAAAGCCCTAACGTTTTTCTCCCAACGCTAATCCAACGATTTTGTCTCCCCCCGGTGACACTGCTCAAAGACCTTCACTGGAAGTGGAAACTCTTCCATCTCCATTCTCTGCTGCTACGTCTGAACATTTTGCCTCAAGGTATGAAACTCTTCCTGTGTCTCTCCGTTTCTCTTTCTCTTTCTCTACTACAACCCACCCATTTCTCTCCCCTCTCCATCCTCAACTCTTCCCTCCCCATTTTCTGAAACCCTACACCAAAACCCCCTTTTCTTAACCCTATTTCCTTTCCCGATCCTTGTTTCCCCTTCTTCATATCTCGCCCTTTCACCTCTGTGAACTCCACTTGGGGTGGGTTTGTTTTTTAAATTAATAAAATATGATGTGAATAGGTTTTGTTTTCATCTTTCTTCGATTTGGCTGCTTTTGCAAAATCTGGTGTGTGGGTATTTGTTTTTAATTTTTTCATTTGTTCTTATGTTTTGCATAATATTTTGCCTTTGGGTTTTGGCTGACTATAATATTTACCTTTTGCATATTTTACAGTTGCATCCTTTAGTATGAACGAAAATATGAACTAGTGTTTCTCTATGTGGTGGTGGTGGTGATTTTGGTAATATTGATGTTAAAATGTGGGTCTTTGTGGTGCCCCCTGGGATTAGTTGGGCTTTAATCTGGACACCCAGTGCCAATAATAAAAAAAAAAAATGTGGGTCTTTGTGGGGCTTTCCTATCTAGTTGAATTAATCCATCAAGCCGTGTTGAATGAATTTGTATGTTTGTCAATTATTGAGATGGGTCAATGATGGAAGTATTCTGCCCTTCATTTTTCTTGTCATCAGTAAATCTTTATGTTAGATGCTTAATTTGATGTTCAGAGATTGACCCTTTGATTATATATGCGAGAAATTGAAAATATTTGCTGAATTAATATTTCTAAGTGTTGTATTTGGTGTTTAGAGGCAGAAACAAAGTGCCTTATTTCTGAAATTGAACTTTAAAAATTCAAAATCATGTTTAAGGGTTGGAATATGATTTGTTACGTGTTGCAACCACTTCACTCTCGATGAAACCTCGTGGTTATAACTCTTGTTATGCATATTGTGTTTTTATTATGTTTTTCTTTTTGGTGGTGAGAAAAGTTGTTTTATATTGTGGTTCATGTTATGAATTTTGGTTTATGACTCTTTATGATTATGTTATGAATATTTCGGTTTTTATTGATCTTTTTTGTGGTGAGAAAATTTATGTCATTTTTTGGTTCATGTTACAAAATTTGATGACGTTATTACAAAAGGACATGTCATATGCATCCTTTAAAGGATGCACACACTATCCTTCTCTCGTCTTATTAGGTGTCAAAATTCTGGGCAATGAAAACTATGGTAACTATTTTAAGTAGAAGTTTATCTCTATAATCTACTTTTTGTGTGCTCACATATGTTGGTTTTTCTTCTCTCAAAGTTGCCTATCCTCTGTTATATTTCTCCAGTTTTTGTTGGAAATTTCACTTTTAGATTGAGACACATTCATTTTATTAAATTGAGGCACATGCAAGGATTAAATCTTGTATGTTTGGAATGTTTAGCTGAATATGAGCTACTTTATCTCATTGAGGGTTGAAGTACTTAATGTACTATTATGAAAAAAATAAAATAAAATAAAAATACTGCTTCTATAAACTTGATGAAGTTGCTGCCTCTTTTAAAAGTTGTAAATATATGAGGACTTCAACCAATTTGATATGAATAAAGATTACTCTTGTCAAGGACTTGCAACATTTACTTTGTTGGCCTAATTTGTGATGGCTTGGTGGTGAATGTAAATATTTGTGTAGAATTAATGCCTTAAATTTTATTAGAATTTGGGAGTACATTAAATCCTAAACTTGGAAGGGTCATTAAAAAGTTAATTGTACATCTAGGTTAAGTTTAAGTTGATTGGGTCAATTTAGTAAAAAATTCAAGAATAATTAATTAAATTAAAATTTGGGTTGGATTCTTTTGTTGCCTAGTGGTTTGTATTGGGCTATAAGGATGTCAAGCAGTGTTATTAAAAGCGATAAGCGCACCAAGGCGCCAAGGTCTCTTGAGGCCTTAGGCGCAAGGCGCAAGGCGAGGCGCAGGCTTTATCGAAGTAAAGCGCACCATGACAAGTTAAAATAATATAATTTAATATGAGACATATAAGCAAATAACTAACTGGTATAACATAAACAAAATGCAATATTGAACATTTAAAAAAATAAATACCAACAAATATCGCTATTTTAACATAGACAAATGAGTATAAAGCATGCATTTCAAAACATAGAACGCGAATATCCATGATCCAAAAGTCAACTAATAACAATATTTCAAGTTGAGAGGAGACGAAGACAGAAGAAGACGAACAAGGCAGACGAGACGAAGCAGAAGAAGACGAAGAACAGGCAGACGAGAGACGACCAAGAAGACGAAGAGACGAACAGGACGAAGAGAACAGACGAAGAGAACAGACGGAGAGAAGGAGAAGAAGAGACGAAGAAACAAAGAGAAGAACATACCTGTGCATCCTGAACTGGAAGACGACTGCGCTGGAAGATGATTGGAAGAGAAGAACTTCGGAGATTTGGATTAGGGCTCGATGTTTCTTTCGTTGTTTGTCGCTGATTTGGGCTAAATCTTCAAGTATATTTGAAGGAAATAATCTGCTGTAGCTGACCCTAATATCTTGGTGGTCCAATCTGTATGAAAAAAAAAAAAAAAAAAAAGCCCTCAAGGCCTGCGCCTTGGGCTTAACTGCGCCTAGCTCGAAGCGTGAGCTTTAATCGCGCCTTAGTGACATCGCCTCGCCTTGACCACTGCAAGGCGCAAGGGGTGGGCATGGCTGGGCTTTGCGCCTAGGCGCGCGCCTAGGCGCGCTTTTAATAACACTGATGTCAAGAATTAAATTTGGTACTCTTTGATGTTTTCTTTCTTTGTGGTTCCTTTGGCTAATTAGAAACAACGATAATTTTGAACAAGAAAGTATTAATTAGGTGGATGTCATTGTCCTGTATAAGGTTTGTGTGGCTTGGTTGGTTAAAGCAAATAGTTATCATAGGTTGACTCCAGTTTCTTAGTTTTCATTGCCTAGAATTTGTGTGGCTTGGTTGGGGCAATCAAACGCCTTCCAATTTCTTCCCTAATATCAGCCCCACTCCAAACTATGCAGATTTACATTCAATCAATTGCACAATTGATTGTGCACCAAAGCATCCAAATTTCGCTGAGGATTTTCAACTAGTTGTGCAATTGAATGTGAAATTGTAGGATATGTCTAATGCTTAAAAGACCCATTCTGAATAGATTGTTCAATTGATTCATATCCAACCAAATTGCTCAAGGATGACGATCGATTGTGCATATAAAGTCACCCACATTGCACAAGTATGATGATAATTTCATTCTTTTTCATTCGAGACTCCAGTGAATCAAAGACGAAGAGTGAATTGTGTGATAGGTCTTTGATTAAGAGTATTTGGGGGTTGCTTTTTCATAAGTGGGCTTTTTTACCTTCTTGTGGGAGGTCGAGGGAATTTTGATCATATGAGTTGAAAGGGTAGTGACAAAGTGCTGGATATAGGAGTTTGCACAAGGAAGGAATTTTATTTAAGGTGGATTTTGAAAAAGCATATGATTATGTTGATTGGGGTTTTTTGGATTTTGTCATGGAAAAGAAGGGCTTTGGAGAAAGGTGGAGAAAATGGATTTGGGGGTCTGTGTCTTCATGCAACATGTCTGTCATTGTAAGTGATAAAACTGGGAAGGGTTTGATTTTAAGTCATCTTAATAGTGAATTTTTGATAAATTATGTGAGTAAGGGTGATTTTTAAAGTTTGAATGAAATGATTGTTTGTGACAGAGGGAAAGGGAGACTGACCAATCCTTTGCTGGTGCCGGATCGTGGGCCTCGACAGAGGTTGTTGTTTTTAGGTCCATGGTCATACGAGTTAGAGGATTTTGGTACAAATCGCAGAGGTCGCCATACTGTGTCGGTAGGGGAACGCGGACATGGTCGACGCAGTGAGATAGTTCTGTTTGGGGCTGAGATCAGATGGTTAGTAGGTCGACTCCGGCAGGCAGAGGCTTCGGGGGATTGTGGTTTGTTTTTGGGTCGTGTATCGGGTGGAGGCCGGAGTGTGGCAGCGTGGTTGAGGTCAGAGGAGGATGGGCTTGTCTTTCAGGTGGTCTTGTTGTTGGGGCAACGTCGTCAATAGATGTTCATTCCTTCGATGGATGAAGTTTAGGAAGGCTTGGCCTTAGTACTTGAGGGTTGTGGGGGTGGATTGGCCGAAATTAGTCATGGTGGTTACTGGGTGGTAGGCTTCGTAATTGGTTGCTGGCGACGAGGAAACTGGTACGGGGTCGGGGCTATGATTTTCCCACGCGAATCGCGGAGCCAAATAGTGGGCAACAATCTCGGAACAACCTTTCTGGGTTCGTGGGTTCTAGATTGGGTAGAGGAATTTGGCCCATGGCAAGGCTTTTGGGCCTGGGGCTGAGGGACTTAGTCGTGTTTTGGGTTTGTGTTGTTGGGCTAAAATGTAAGGGATGGGAGGCAACCTGGGTTGGGTCATTCAAGTTTGGGATTTAATAGCTTTGGGTAGGCCAGTGATTGACCATTTGGTCGAATTGGGCGTTCGGACCAACAATGGGCCCATAGGCCTTTGGGTCGCTCTACAAGGCCACCAAGTTTGGATCTAGGAGTTTTGGCTCCATTAAATCGACCCACTGCTGAGGGAGGTCCGTCTCAATCTACCTTGAACTCGTCTGTTTCTCAAGTTTTCGAATCTTTGTCTGTAGTGCTTGGGTGTGGAGGCGGGACGACTATGAAAACTGACGGAAGGGAGGAAGTTTGTCGGACATCGAAGGAGATTCGATTGACCAGCACAGATTCACTTTTCGAGTCTCCAGTCGATCGGATTGAAGGGGGTTTCGCAATGGAGCTGTTGATTTGGGTTTGGGAGATGATGATGGTTGTCGGGAGAGAGAGGGACAGCTTTCGACGGGGCTGTCGGGTCAAACAGAAGGAGAGCCATAAGTTCTTCCGAAGGAGCCTCAGGATAGTGCGGCGTGGGCGGTGGTTCCACTGCAGGTGTCACAGGCTGTGGTTGGCCT